AACTCAAATAGGTTAGAGGAGCCTAGGTTAAAGCTCAACCAACATTGCCAGAGATGGATCAAAGTGGAAATCTTAAACTAGAACCAGTTGCCGTGTTGCCGTGCTTGCTAGGAGAGTGGTTGCTCAGAACAACAAGGTTGTTACCTAACTTTTGGTGGAGTGGTCTCATCTGCGGGAGGAAGATGCTACTTGAGAGTTTATAGCTGAATTGAAAAAGAGATTTCCAAATTTTCAAACTTGAGGCCAAGTCTATTCCGAAGGAGTGGGACTTGTAATAATTGGTCTTAAATGTAAAGGATTAGAAAATAAGGGAGTTCTTTGTAATAGTGTAGAGATGAACTGGTGGTTGACAGTTGTCAACCCGAGAAAGGATACTTAACGTATTATATTATGTATCCATAATCCATTGTGGGTTGTTGCAATCATGAGAAATACAAATACAAATTTCCTCTGCAATTCTTCTTCTTCTACCTCATTTCCTTAGCTAAGTTGACCCAGGGTGTTACAGTTACCTCGAATAACAAAGATGTATGGCAGAGTTCTTGTTCATCGTTGTGTTTTTTTGTTGTGACAGGCGTTAATAAGGTCAAGATTGGTAAGAAGACCACGGATGACGGACTAACCCGTAGTAGTCTCTATATGTTGAATTCGCAGCGGGAGATCACAACGAGGGAAAGGGAAAAAAAGCTGTGTTGAATTTAGTTGAAGGTTAATTGTATTGTTGGTCACTGAGATTACAAAAAACGTTCAAGTTTGGTCATCCAAAATATTTAAATCCATTGGTGGTATTTCAGTTTACTGAAACCGTTCACATTTGGTCACTCCCCGTCCAACTCCGTTAACTTTGGCTGATGTGGCAATTAACTCTCAAAGTTGATCGTTAACTTAGTGACGTAGCAATTAAAAAATAATAAATAAAATAAAATTTAATCTATTTTAATGTCCAACTCATTTTTACCATAAAATAAATAAATAATTATAATTATTAATTATGAAATTAAAAGAGCCGTCCCACACCACATCTCTTCCCCGCAATCACTTCTTCTCCGCTCGGGGTTGCCGCCGACCGTCGGAGTTCCCAGTATTCTGGTGAGGTGAGCGAAAACGAAGTGGGGACTTGTAATGAGACGAAGCCAAGACTTTTGGACCAAGAGGCACTGCAACAAGGATCTATATGGCAGTCTTCCAAAGATGTCCGTCCATAACTCTTCCGGCAGCCGATCCCAGATAGTCTGCCGCTCACTAGGAGAGAAGCAAGGGAATAGTTTGCCGACGAACGATTTCATGACGAATCTCAAGCTCGCAAGGAGAAATCTGCAGAGTGCAGCACAAGTGCACAACTCCACCTTTTGAAGTGCTGGAGCGGGTAAGAAGCAATGTACTTAATAGAGCCCTAATGGGATTTGGCAAGTTCTCAAACCCAATTCAAGGTGCAAAGAAACTGCATTGGAACCGTAAAAATATACCACGCGCCGCCTTCTGAGAACGACGGTTATAGACCTCATGGCGGATTTGATTCGGGGTGAAGGATCCGGGATTCGCAATGATCTTTAAGGGGTTGTTTGGATTAGGAAATGTGGGCAGGGATTTTGCCACAATTCCTTGTCATAAGGAATTTTGTCACAATTCTTTGTTTGGATAGAAAAAAAAAATGAGAGATTTTACCCATTAGGAATTTCAAAAATCCTAGTATCAGAAATTTTAAAATAGCTGATGGACCCCAGGTTTTTTAAAATCTCTGCCAATTTTTTTCCAACCTTCCCAATTTGTCCCTTCTTATTTTTTGTTATTCCTTTCTTGCCCTCACCCTTTATTCACCGACTCACCATTTCCAACCTCTCTTTCCCATCTCTATCTCCTTCTTCCCTCCCGATACGAGAAACCATCTATCTCCTTCTTCATTTTTCTCGCATCGTCGGCGACTGCGGCGGGGTTCTACTAGCTCCGATCTACAGCGACGTCGACGGCTCGACGCTCGCCTTGAAGTCCGTTCGATCTCACCAGCTTCGCGTGCGGGGATAGCAGGGCGTTGAAATTCAGGGCACGACTTTCAGGTGCGTCCTCTCTTCCTCCTTTCTCGTTCTATGCGTGGATCATTCTGGGTCGGGGGCCCTTGATTCTGGGTTTATGTGTATTAAGAGTTTCGGGTTAGGGTGCGGATGATTTATCTTCTTCCTCATTTTGTTTGCATATGTGAAACTAGGGTTCTGGGTTGGTACGAACTGATGAATCTTCTTCCTCGTTCTATTTGAATATATATGAAACTAGGGTTCTGGGTTGGGTGTTCATTTTCTTCCTCGTTTGAATATATGAAATTAGGGTTGTGGGTTAGGACGCGAACTGATTATGAAACTAGTATGAAGTCAGTGTGTCTGGGTAGGCTAGTTTGTATGAATATGGCAGAGACTTAAGTTCACAATTAAACCTTGGCCTCCTTTATCCGTCATCAGCCTTAGTCTGCTAATTCAAGAAATGCGAAGTTCCTGATCTCATTAATGGCTGCCGCCCACAAACGCAACAGACCACCACCCAAATCCCTTATTCTTCCTCACATTCTCATCCCTACCATTCTCCTGCTACTGTTTCCACATTGCCATTCACTACCTGCGATCTGGGTTGTAGGTTAGAAACTCAGTACAACTTGAGTTCACAACTTAACGTCAAGTAATAACAACAACTAATTTATTTGAAGCCTTTTTAACACAGTATTACTTAGCAGCCTTTCCATTCATGGAAGATTAAGAAAGAAGTAGCACAATTTGAGTGAATGTTATGATTTGATATGAATGGATTGTTTGTTGTACTAGCTGGTTTGTAAAATTTGGAATCCAAGAATTCTCTATGTCGAATTGATTGTTTGTTGTACTTACGTAACTAATTGAAGTTTTAATTTCAAAAGGATGTCTCGGCTGTCAAGGATGTCTTCAATGGAAAGACGCAAGTTGATTGCGGCGATTAGCGCATTTTGGAATCTCATTATGATATATATTGAGTTAGGGATGGAAGTAATGAAATTAACAGAGCTATTGCTTGTAAATCCTAGACTTGGTAGACAGCCCTTAGACGGTTACGCAATGCGACACTATGATCGACAACGGGTCATTTATAAATGCACCAAGATGAGTGATACTGAAAGCCATAGGAAGATTAGGATGAACCGTACATTGTTCACAAAGTTGTGTGACCTTCTAGCTGCTGAAGGGGGTTTGAAAAAAACAAGAAACATCGAAATAGATGAGATGGTTCTCACGTTCCTCTTGACTATTTCACATAGTGACAAAAATAGGAGTTTAGCTGTAGATTTGCGTCGTTCCACAGAAACCATGTATCGGTCCTTTCACCGAGTGTTGCGGGCAATCCTTAGACTCAACAAGCTTCTAATGAAGAAGCCTGAACCAATCCCAGCCGATTCCACCAATAAAAGATGAAAGTATTTTAAGGTTTGCCAACTAAAAACTACTCTTATAATCTTCCTTTTGGAGTAGCTTGTCCAAATGTTTTCCTGTAACATTTTAATTTTTTCTTCATTGTCATAGAACTGTTTGGGAGCCCTTGATGGGACCCATATAGATGTCCGACCACTGAAGAAAGAACGAACTAGGTACTGAGATAGGTCAGGCAATCTCACAATCAATTGTTTGGGAGTTTGTACTCCCGACTTAGAGTTCGTCTACTGTCTTGCTGGATGGGAAGGATCTGCCCATGATGCAAGGGTCTTGAATGATGCCTTGAACAGGCCGAATGGCCTTGTCGTGCCAGAAGGTAATTATATTACAATCAATAACACTAATTGGTATATGCATAAAACTTGATTCAACGGTGTAGGAATTATCTAATTCAGAATATTTTTTTGGTTTAGGGTGTTATTATCTTTGTGATTCTGGCTATGCTAATAGTCCCGGATTTTTGACCCCGATTCGGGGTCCAAGATATCATATTGATGAAACAAGGGGACATCTGACGCAAACAGCCGAAGCATACTATAACTGGAGACATGCTCAAGCTAGAAACGTAGTAGAAAGAATCTTTGGAGTGTTAAAAATGAGATGGGCAATCCTTAGGGAGTCAACTTGGTTTTCTGTACCTATTGTAGCTCGAATTGTGCTAGCTTGTTGCATTCTGCACAATTTTATAAAGAAAGAACATGGAGTCGATATATATGAAAGAACATTTCGAGACCAAGACATACAACAACATGGATCAAATGAGGTTGAAACAATGGTCGAAATATCCAGCACTCAACCAACTGAAGCTTGGAATCAGTTTAGGACTGATCTGGTCTCGGAGATGTGGCAAACTCGACCTGCTAGATTTCGAGCTTCTTCTTCAGTTTGATTAGTTGTTGTTTGATTAGTTTTCATTTAATGTTGAGGACCTGTTTAATTGTAATGGTTCTGCCAGCACTTCAGTTTTATGCAGAATGTGATTGGAAGTACTGCTACTGTGTTATCATTTTGAGTATCAGGTTCAAATATCATTTGAGTGACATGTTACAGATGGTGAACTTTGCCATAGGCTGATAGTATTGTCTCTTCTTCATTTCATGTCTTCCTCCTTTGCTTTTACTAAATGTGCTACAGATGATGGAATGGAACTTTTTTGTTGCCTGATTCAGAAGAAACTTTTCTGCAGTGTCCTTCAGGAAAAGCTGCAGACTTGTGGGTTATTCTCATGTGGTTACTGTCCATACTCCATACAAGGAGTGGTTTATGATGTAGCTAGATAGATATTACTAAATGTTCAATTTGTTAGTTCCACTGGTTTAATCTTCAACTGGCACAAAGCTATAAACTTCCCAAAAGCAGAGCACCGTCTGTTTGCTGCATATTTTCTTTGTCTGTTTGCGTGATGGTGCAGATTTTCAGTTGCAACTCTTCTCATTAGTTCTGTTTTGCAGCATGGGAAAGAGAAAGCAATGTGATGAGGATATGGACGGTGCTTCCTCTAAGACATATACGTACTGGAAAGAGGAACTAGACAAGCCATTTGTTGACTGTATTATGGAGCTAGTAGAGAAGGGGCAGATTGTTGACGGCAACTGCAAGAATGGGGCTTATAAGCAGTTAGAGAAGCTGTTGCAGGAAAGAGTGTCGGGATGCAGGGTCAAGGCATATCCTAACATTGAAGGCAGGTTCAAAAAACTGAAGAAGAGATGGCATGCAATAACTTTTATGAGGAAACAAAGTGGCTGGGGATGGGACGAGGTCAATAAATGCATTGTATGTCCCGAGGGATCTTGGGACGAGTTTGAGAAGGTAAATTACAGCTTGATCTTTATTTTTCTGTCCTATAAACTACTCCTTTTCTAATATAAGCTGTCATTTTCTTTGTATTTATATTGCTGACTTGCAGAAGCACACAAGCTGCAGAGGGTTGAACAAGAAAAGATTTCCTGTCTACGATGACTTGGCACCGGTTTTTTGCAAAGGGCGTGCAAGTGGTGAGCATGGGGTCGACACCAATGTTGTTGACGCTATCGATTTAGAGGATGAAGAAACTGCACCTGTCGAAAATGAAGAAATGGATGATGTGTTGATGGAGGAAATACAAGCAGAAATGGCAGCACAGAATAATCAATCTGCCAGTGTTATCGCTTCAACAGATGGTGCTCCAATTAAGAAGAGAAAGAAAGGTAAGACAGTCGATGAGCACCTCGCCAACTCCAATGAGGAAATGAGAGAACTTCGACCACTGATTAAGCAATCAGTTGACACTATTGCAAGAGCACTCGGAGAGAGCGATGATCTCATTAGCAAGAGATCGAATCTGCTGAGGAAGCTGGAAGAACTTGGAGGCCTCACAACAACTGATATCATTACTGCATTGCGGAAGCTCTCTAACAACGATAGGGACCTGGTGACATTTTATTCGTTGGAGGCAGATGAATATAAGATGGCTTTTGTTAGGGGATTGCTTGGATGAAGGCGAATGAGTTTAGGACGAGCTGGAATTTTTCTATATTGCTTATGATAGGGATCTGGGTTGAGCTTTTTGGGGATATACTATATGTTTCTTGTTTGTTGGAAGATGGTGTTTGGTAGGGAAGTTAAAACGCAGTAGCAAGACTTGTTATTGTGGGTTTGATATCAATATTTTGTTGATAGCCAAACAATATGCAAATGTTATTGGTTATGCAATCTTGTTTCTGTTATATGGAGAAAGGTAGTGTTCTGCTAAGAACAGATGAAAAGTCTTGAAACCATCTACTTTGCATCATATAATCTTGACATACAGATGTTTGACATACAACAAGAAGCAAGAAGCTTCACATACAGAAACCATGCCTTGACATACAGAAATCATCTAACTTAACTCTCCTCCTTCCTCTCTTTCTATCGCTACTACTTTCAACCAAACACATCAATTCAAAAAAGAAGACAGAATTTCCTATACCTCCACGTCCAAACCATGGCCAATCCTGGGAAACATCCCACACATCACCATACCCAAGTCGCCAAATCCCACAGCCCCTTAATCCGGCAGCCGCTGCCGAAGTGCTCAAAACCCACAACTCAATCTGGGGAGGGTCTTCCCCGCCTTCACTCCAAACTCTCCCTCTGTTTCTCGTTCTCCCTCCCTCTCGTTCTCCCAAACATCCACCCAACCCTCGGTTTAGCCCATCAGTCGCCGACCATATCCTCCCTGAATCTCTCCGCCGCTCCGCAACCCTCAGCCATGTTCATGTGTCGGCCAAATCCTCCCCATCCCTGAATCAACCCTCTGCAACTCCTCTATCCATCCTAGCCGCCGCCGGCCATCTCGTCTCACCATCGATTTGATTCCTTCCTGACCGCCGCTCCGCAACCGTCATTGTTCTCACCGCCTCTTCGTTAGCCCAATAGCCCATAGGAGATGATTAAGGTTATGGAGGGAAAAGTCCTCTTACTTGCTCTGCTTTGCGTATGCTCTTTCAGGCAGGACGAAGCAGAGAAGATTGTCCGACCGGCGAATCTCAAAGCAACTGCTTCCCTTTCGTCGGAGAAGAGATCATTCGAAGCAGAGACAAAATAGTAATTTTAGGTTTGTCATTAAAATCTAAATTGCTCATTGGACAATTCTGGATCCCTTATCAAACAAGTAAATTGATTCAATTTCCTTGTTTAAATTACATGAATTTTTAAGTGCAGAATTTGAGTGCAAATCCCTTATATATCCCTCAAATCAAAATGCTTAATCCAAACGACCCCCAAATCAAAATGCTTAATCCAAACGACCCCTAAGATTGCATGGCGGAGGGAATTGGAGGAGGAAGAGCGGAGAAGAAGTGATTGCGGGGGAGGGATGTGGTGTCGGGTGACTCTTTTAATTTGATAATAATTAATAATTATAATTTTTTATTTTATTTATTTATTTTATGGTAAAAATGAGTTGGACATTAAAATAGATTAAATTTTATTTTATTTATTATTTCTTAATTGTCACGTCACTAAGTTAATAGTCAACATTGAGAGTTGACTGCCACATCAGCCAAAGTTAACGAAATTGGACGAAGAGTGACCAAACGTAAACAATTTCAGTAAACTGAAGTACCACCAATGGATTTAAATATTTCGAGTGACCAAATTTAAACACGTTTTTTGTTTTTTAATCTCAAATCTCAGTGAGTAACAAAGAAATAATTACTCAACTCGTATTCAGATGTCACATTACTGGTGTCTAGGCAATATACTTGATATACATCAAAGATCAACAATCCAGCTTCCCAAAACTACCCAAACCATCCTCATACTTGTACGCTGTAGCGGTTTCTGCATTAAGATTGTTGGTATGGAGAAACAAAAGCCATTGAGACCTTAACCTTTTCTACTCAAGCTAATAACCTGAGAAGAATATCAAGCTGGAAAGATGCATCTACACAAGCCATGTGGAATACATCCTCATTCCTCACCATCTATTCCGCAACTGTATGATCCATCAAAATTAACTTAGCAATACGTATATAACCCAGTAAACATCAGAGCAATAAAATTTGGCTTTTTGTACTAAAAGTGCTAGTGAAACTAGAGATGAATTGTCAGTCAATCAATTGTTTGGACTCTCCAACTTTGGCATCCTGTAGAACTAGAAGTGCTTGTGCCAAGGCTGTTATTTTCCGATGCTAAGCTTATTCCTTGCATATGGCACTCTACAAACTGACCTCAAGGCTCACTGACCACTGCCACCTCACCAAGACATCACAAATCCCCTTCATCATCATCAGGGCCTGGTACCATTTGAGGCCTCGAGAGGGTTTGAATTCAGTTCTAATACCTCCGGGTAGCGCCATAACGGTTTCCTACATTGTTGTTGCTGCTGTTATTAGCTTCTGACTGCCCACCTCCCCTTGGAGAGCTAAATACACCAAACCCAGGTGCTTCATTACCTGGAGCAGAAGGTGAAGAAGGTTCTCGCCTAAAATCAGATCTTTGTCGACTTCTTGAAGATTGTGGTTCAAACCTGAAAGAGCCTCCCTCTTGAGATCTATTACTATCCACTGATGTAGATCTCAAACGGTTGTTTGCGGGTTCACTTCTTTTATACCTATTTTCAAAAGTTGTGGGCTCTGGTATACCAGCTGAAACCTCCATCTCTGCTGTTTCTGGAGCATGCCTTTGTCTGGGATCATGGAACTTCGGAGCATTGGAGGTCAAGCTGGAAGCTCTTCCTGCAATAGCTCGATCCATGCTATGTCTATATGCATCATTAGTATTAGGAATATTGGAAACACCAACAGTATTACTCGCTGGATCTTTTACTGCCCAAGGGGAACGATTGTCCAGCATGCCTGTATCCGGAACATAATCCTCATTCAAAAGGATTTCATCTTCCATTTCTGTTTCGGTTTCAGCAGGATCTTCTATAGATGTATCAGAAGTGTGAGTTGAAGAAGGGGCATATGCATCCTTGATCTTTTTTGTTCCTTTCTTGGATGGACCAAATTTGATATGTCTAACTATAATGTACGCCTGTTTTCTCTCCAACAATGGTCCACTTTCCACAACTGTGTCTTCAAGCTGTAGATGAATGCCCACAAGAAAGAGTTTATCACATGACATTGATAGAGTACCAGGGGAAACATGAAACAGAGATGCATCATACCAAATCAGTGAGATTGGATAACAATGCTCCTAAATCCTCCTGCTCCTCATACTTCCTTGCCGAAGGCAGAGCCACACACTGAATCAAATTTATTAATACAAACTATAAATGAGAATAATGGTGACGGTGCTATCAATTAGATTAAGGGACCAGACCACCAACACCAGATGATTAATCTAGAAGAAAAATAGCAGGCAGTCCAGAGATGTGTTCCAGAAATCACAAGAATGAACAAAAGTGAGATTTTAGCGCTGGGAAATACCTTCACCCGGTAACCACGCTCCATCAATCTTTTCACAGAATCTGCTTTCATTTTCAAATCTTTTAGTTCCTGAAAAAAGCAGTATAGAACGAGATTTTAACGGGATAGATTTGCAATGCTACATAAATGCATACATATTATTCTGGGCTATCTATACAATTTTTCCATGGAGCAATGCCACCTTAGTACCTTACTATTTCAGATAACTAGAAGTTTAGGAAAAGTGGCCAGAAATGACTTACAGTTTTCTTGGTAAATCGAACTTCCTTGCAAGCTCCTTTTCTCAACATCACATCTGACTGCATGAAATTTCAAACGTTGCCAAGTTCAGCAATGTTTGGGAAGGACATTAAGAAACGGTGCAGGTTCTTGTCATCTCATGAGGGAAACAGCACAAATTAACCTACAAAACTCCTCCAGACTTTCAAGAGAAAAAACTGAACACTTCCAAGATTCATCAACAAATACTTCCATTTATTTCATTTTATAAGATATAATAACTTGAACTCCCTAGAACATTTTATTATACTTTTACAACAGAAAGGCAAGGTTCCTATGATTATGTTTTTTAATGGAGCCAATACAAAAGAAACAGCCTAACAAAAACTAAATTCGAATTGATAAGACACCATACCTTACTTTTAGCACGCTCTTTTTCCTTCTGAACTCGATCTCGAGCATATTTCTCCCGGTGGTAGTCCATGATTTTACAAACGGGTGGATCAGCAGTCCTTTGAACCTAGGAATAGCCACTTAGAGTGAGGAGAATAAAAGCTCCCTAAAGTACCTTACAAAGTTGCATTTAAGAGTAATAAGAGGATCTCCACATCTACATAAGATGGAGTAACCTGGTGCTCAAATTATAGCCATCCAAGTTACGAGCATCATTGATTCATTAATGAGAACAATCAAGCAGGTGCAGATTGAGAGTTCATAAGATATCTGATGCGCACTGAACTTCCCTTGCTTTTCCATAATTCCCGCTACTATCAAAGCACAACCCTCTGTTTCCTACTTCTCATTCAAGAAATACTCTAGGAAAATCCATATCAATCATAAAAGTTTAACCTAATGCATAAAAACTTATTGTAAAGCAGAGGCCAAACACAATTGGAAGAAGTTGTCTTGTGATAACAAGCTGAATCATGGCACAACATGCATAAGGATCAAATTAAGCAAAGAAGGAACACAAAGGACCAGCCTTATGCCACTTAAGCAGAAGTCACCAAGTGGTCAAAGGTAATCATACATTACAGAACAGTTATACAAAACAGGAATCAAGTTTTTTCATAATAATTTTCCAATTCAAAACTATCCAACTGGTATAACTGGTACATATTCCTGACATAGGTTTGCGAGACAAATCATGTATTCTCACTTATCTCTTTGAAAATCAAGTAAATTCCATTATATCCCAATATCTAACCAAGCAACCGCTAAAAAAGGGGAATGACTGCATAATTACAACTGGAAATCAAGTTAAAAAGTGTATGTGCTCTTACAAAGAGGAAAAGAAGAAAAAAGTCATTGAAGCCAGCAAAGCTGCTTTTACGGGAATAGCTTTTGAGAAACATGATAATGCAGGGAACTCAAGGTTGGTAACACAACAAACCGATACCAGAACTGACCTCAACCAAATCAAGATTCATTCTCTTCGCTTGTTCTAGTGCTTCACTCAGTGAAACAACATTGTGCCCTGCAGAAAAAAAGGCCATGACCTATCAACCCCAATGGCTCTGTTGCAATATTATTGACTCACTCGTCTGACAACAATTGGAACTCACTACTTTCTTTCACTAACCCACCTGAATCAGTCACAAGCCTTACAATGTTGCCTGTAATGTGCCCATTAAGACGGGGCTCACCAGTGTTGTCGTCTTCCTTCCTTCCCCTAACCTGAGAATGAAAGACAGTGATGTAGTCAATAGTTCTTATTTCAACAGAAATCCCACCAAAATACAAAAGCCCAAAACCAACAAAAAACAGAATTTTGACAGCAAAGGAATCGACTTTGAGGGGCAAAACTATACCTGAGAATAGCTAGAAGCGAAGAACCTGGTATTGTAGTAAAACTCACCAGGCCTTACATCAATTCCTGATAAACGGTCTCCCCACGCAAACGCACCCGAGTGAAAGTTAGCATTGCGAACAATAGAGGACGCATAGGAAATTTTGAAATAATGTCTGGGCCACTGATGCAATAGAAGTCTCAGCTGAGATTGAGCAACTCTGCTCCAGTAAATCATTGTCTTCAGTGGGAGGGATCAAAATGCCCAACGTAGAGTGAACATCTATGAAGAAGCTATCTCCTCCAAGGACTATCAACTGAGCCTGACATGAAGCGAAGGAATAATTAGATAAAGAACCCAACTAGCTCACAAAATTCATAATTTTGAATTCATTGATCCTAAAAACACATCTTTTTCACTTCCCAGGACATGCATCTTTCCTTCTCGCTGTCTAATCCATTCAGTCAAGTCCATCCATACCACCAAAATAAAAACTGAGGAGTTCTATCCCTTGTTATTCTTGATCATTAAAACTAACCCAGTTGTCCGCACATGAAGTCTCACAATGGTTTCCCAATAGGCAGATTGGAAGAGACTCCATGAACAGACGCACAAACCACCTAGGGTTCGTTTGGATTAGTGTTTTTAATTCGAGTGATTTGAGAGGGATTTGGGATGAAATAACACAAGAAGCAGCTTGAAGCATATATAAACTCAGAATCAGAGCAAGGGTCAAAACAAATACTTGCAATGCTGCCGCCACAAACAAATCGGAGCAAGCAGCCACGAGGAAGCCACAAACCCAGAACAACGAGACGAGAAGATTTGGTACCTCTTCTCTACTTTGCGAACGTACTCACCGGCTGCAAGAAGGGTTTGTCGCCGCAGATTCCCTGCGCTGCGAAGCTGAGTCGCCGCCGATCAGCAATCGACGACAGCCACTTCCCTACGCCGCGACAGAGAGACAGAATTGAAGGACAGACAGAGTTACGAAGTATTAGAGTTGGATTTTCAGAAAAATGGCATGGGCATATATGGAATAAATTGACAAAATATTGAGGAATTTCATAATAGCTAGTGGTCATCAGCTATTTCACAAATCCACAAATGTGGATTTCTAAAATTTGAAATGTTTAAAATTTCTAATCGAAAAATTAGTTCTCAAACGAATGATTTTAATTAAAATCTTTCATTGTGAGAGATTGTGCCCAAATCACTCATTAGAAACACTAATCCAAACGACCCCTAGGATCTGAAATCCACCATCACCTAACTACATGTATATCCATATCCCCTCCCCCTCAGTACTTATCTAGTCGATACCAGCCAAGTAGAACAAACTCGAAACACGCCTACAAAAAGTCCTAATATCAGAAGGCGGAATCCGAAAACTTTATGCACAACTCTAACTAACCTGTGGAAGAGTTTTTTATGCAGACCCTAATCGGTGGATCTCCGAAACTGACTCCCTACTCTCCTCGGCATCCGAATGGTGCTTGGTTGCCGCCGGTAGCCCTCAACGGACGAGACAAGGGTTCGTCCAAAAAGAGTTTCGCGTCGTCGATTTGTTTGGGGAGAGTCTGGTCGACAGTAATGGAAGAACGGGTAAAGTTGGATTTACATAAAAAAAAACAGGGACACAAGTGGAACAAATGGGTAAAATATTGAGGGATTGTGAAACAGCTGAGAACCGAATTTTGAAATTTGGAATGTTTAAAAGCTTTGATTACTTAAATGTTTTCCAAACGAGTAATTTTGTTTAAAAATCCTAATTGTCTGAGATTGTGGCCAAATCCCTCACATGAAACCTGCATCCAAACTACTAGACTTGGCAATCGGATCGGGTTGGGGACTTTGGTTACGGGTCGGGTCATGTTTGGTTGGCTGATTTCAGGTCAAATATTGACCCAACCTATTCGGTTTTGGGTCGGGTTACAGGTCATTTTGGGTTACGAGTGTTTCAGAAACAATATCAAACATGCTTCATATTTTCTTAAAGAACACAAATTTTCACATATGCATGACAATAGTTTACCTAACACATGTCAATTAACATATTCTCAAATCCTCCCACGCTAATGAAATGAAATACAAACTGCGCAAATCTTCAAAAAACAATCACAAGAGTAATACTACTACAAGAAACACATAATATTTGATTATCCTTAAACTCCAAACATGTCATTCAAATCCTTGTGATTTTTTTAAACATCTCACCAATTTATGAGTGATTTTATCATATTTCGGGAGTGATATATGAAATGGAACAGGTCTAACGGGTCGACTCGCTAATCCACCCAACCCGACCCAAAAAAATTACGGGTTATCGGGTTCGGGTCATTTGGATTTTGGGTTACAAAAATTTCTAGTTTTCGGGCAGTTTCGTGTCGGGTCAACGGGTGGGGTTGTAATTTGCCAGGTCTACAAACTACCTTTGGAACCCACAAAAAAGATATTCATTTACATTGACAAATGAACAACAGCTCTCAGCCATTGGATAGTTCTCTAAATACCAAGAGATAGCGAGTTCAAAGGACTGGCATGTATATTACATTGACCAGAGATCCAAACCATAAACTCCTCCAATTTGTATAACAAAAACAATTAACATTAACTTTGTGTTTTACGGCGAGGAAAATCTGGTGTTTGAACTCAATAAATACACCTTTGACTTCTTGAACAACGATTAATAACACGGTTCACTTCTCTCCGAACAATGTTCGAACGAGGGTGTTTGACGGTTTTGATGGTTTTTTAGGGAACAATCTACGTTAATTACTCTACTCTTACGGAGGTTCAGTGAGAGCTCCAAAAACTAAGGGCTATGACTATGACTACATTGCAGAGAAAAAGATAAATCTTGACATTATGCGTCAAATGTTTGGGTGGAACCATTTACAATCTTCGTTTCTCCTATTGATAGCCACTAGGTGTAAGTGCCTTGGTGACTGCTAGCCAGTCTATTGCTCCAACCGCCTTAGGACTCCTTAACCCATATTGGTAACCGCCAACGAGTCGTCTGCTCAAACGACCTTAGGGACCCCTTGTCGTCACCTTGTGGCCAATTGGTAACCGTTGTCTTGGTCTTCACCCCCATTGCCTTGGACTCCTTGCCTCATTCTATTGACTGGTTGGTATTGTCATCTGGGTGGCTTGGCATCAAACTTGATGAGTTGAGATTCATCTTGCCGCCCCGTCTTGACTAGAAGGGGTTGGGGCCTCCTTGTCTTGCCTCCATCACATTGGCTCTCTCATCAAGCCTCCTTGACGATCCTGACACCTTGATGATTCCGTACTTAGTTCCTTTAATGTCACCTTACTACCCATCTTCGTCTTGTTAGCTAGGCCTTGTTACCCACCTTGTTACCCACCTCTATGCTAGCTTGAAAATTATCAGTTGGTTATGATGGTCCCCCAATTTCACGAGTGGGTGTTGGATACTGACCCCGTCGTGCTTGAGCATTCTTGCGAAGGAACCTTCTCCTTTGAATCCTTGTTATTCCGTCACTGGCTATGGTTTGCTGACGATGGGTGTCATACGTATGTCATCCTTGATGAGACACATTGGGCATCTTAAATGTTCTCCTCACGTCAGGGCTTCTTGTTACACCCGGTATATGATTTTCCTAGAATTTCAAATTGCCTTCACTTAGCTGTAGTGATTAAACTCAACCGTTAATCCCAATAAATCATGTTTTAAGAATAAAACTTGATAGTTGTTGTGGGAATGGTTGTAACCAGTGATTAAGTGATAATAATGAGGAGGTTATGAATAACTAAAGGAAGACTACGTTGGATGGATGGACAAGAAGCTAGGGATTTGGTACATTATTGGCCATATATACATACAAACGTATGGGATGGAGGAGCAGAGGCGGCCACAGTGGGACTTATGGAATACCATCAACTGAGAGAGATATCGATCTTGGGCCGCGATCTTTAGACAACTGCATCTAACCTGTGGAATAAGAAGAGGACGTTACCACTGCAGGACGTAGACGACAACTCAGGGCCCGATGAAATCTCGATGCAAAGGGTTCACGGTTGTTTTTACGGAGGAGGATAGCGTACGAGGAGCTTGCTGCAATTTGGTCGCATACGGAGAGGAGACCTAACTCGGGAATCGGATTATGATCGAGAGCTCCGAACACGTGAAAAACAAGCTTCTTATAAGGATAAATGATCCCGTATACAATGGCATAAATGGAGGATATGAATAAGATTTTGATGGGTTAAAGGGGAGGAAGCTAGAATTACTTAATTATCTATTATGGGTGGTTGGTTATGCGTAGAGGAATTTGATGGGAGTTAGGAATGAATTTACCAATTCGTTTAACGGGTTAGACAAGTTTAAGCCGGTGATTATGGTACTTACTAACTAAGGACTGTGTTTGGACGGTCTCATACGAGGTTTAATCAATCGTACATTGTGAAGATGGGACTTACAGAGGGAGCAGAAGATTCGAGGTCGATGGAGGGTTCAAGCTAGCTAGCTTGATATCAAAGGTGAGTGTAAAGGGGGTAAAATCTCCGTCAAGATCTTTTAGTTTATGTCTTTTAATTCAGTTCTGTTGGTTATTTTCAAGTAAACGTGATTATGTGTGTGAGGAATCCTACCGCCTACATAAGGTGGAGGCACGCGTTGTGCTATGTATGTGTGTGTTGATGATGGTTAATGGTATGATGAACCCCCGGGCGGTTGGGCCACTACTAGACGCGGTAGATGGTCGGATCACTGTTGGATGGCGAGACGTAACGCAGCAGTTGATCGAGTATGTTGGGTTCACTACTGGACGGCGATACGTAACGCCGTAGTTGACCGGACATGGACTGGACGACCATACGTAATGCAGTGTCATTGCCTTGCAGATAGGGATACCGGACGACGATACGTAACGCGGTGGTCCCTAGTACTTATGTGTATGAGTTAAGGATAGAAGTAAATAACTTCTACAAGAGAAGGTTATGAGTAAAGATTTTCCATAAGTTATTAAGTAGTAAAGTATGAGAGATAAAAGCGAGAACGACTTTCGTCTAAGTCAGGAAACCTCAATAATGTGTTTAGTAAGGGTTTGCTAAGGGCAAGAGCTTAGGAAGTAACGACGAGACTAGCCCCTTCTTACCCACTAGGTTGATGAAGGGTTAGCAGAGGTGGATTTGGAGAAGAGACAAGGCGAGGCGAGAAGCCGCACCAGAGTGGACGAGATCGATGGGAGCTCAGTAAGGGATTAGACATAGAGTTTGTTTAGTTAGTTATGTTTATGATTATGAGTATAACTGGAGGCTCAAAGGTTAAGCTTTATTGACTATGTATTTGAGGTCGTCCACGTGTTTAGGGCATTTCATTTAAAAAGGATTCATTTTTATTTGTTTTAATGAAATTTTTTAGATTGTTTTAAATCGGCTCCGGAGCCATTTGTATTTCGGTTTGTTAAAAGGATCGGGTCGTTTCACTTCTCATAGGAAGGCTTCTCATGGAAGGAATACCATGTGTTATCCATTGCCTTTGTTGCCCCCAAATCGGCTGGACGATCCCCTCCATTTGTCTTTGATACGACGGGTGCCTTGGCCTTGGCCTGTTGGGAATACCAATTCTTTGATGAACCGATGGACTCGGCCTCTTCTCGTCAAGCTTGAGACTCTTCGAGGTGGCGTTGTATCCAACACCAGCTTGAAATGGGGCAACTCAATTTTGGAGAGGTCCGGGTTAACCATGTTTATGCCCACCACGTTGGGGAATGGACCAATATCCACTAACATGGCATCCTTCTTTGGCTTCGGGAACTTGATACGCCCCTTCTCAATAGCATCATGCAAGATATTGAGAAAAACCACACATGAGTCAATGGCATGTAACATGTTGTTATGCCACTTACAATACATCTTCCCTTTTAATTTCTCGGGTGGTGGTATGTTATGCCCCCCAGTCAACTTGATCTCACCATCCTTATAGAGTTGGTAAAAAATCAAGTCAGTCTTTGAGATGTCAAAGGA